CCTAAGCAGTTAGCCTCATGGTAAGCATGCTATCATGGCATTCACTCACACGCATGCAAGGATGCTAAAGCATAAAAGCTCACCGGGTACTCCAGGCCAAAAAAGAGACTACATTAGAAATCATGCATGACCCTAAGTATACAGAAATGCCTAATGCAACACATGCAAAAATGCAAACTATAGCAGGCTCGGCTATTCTAAGATGGCATATGAAATGCTATAAGTATCATGTATTCAATTCGGAATTGAAAGTACAATGCAATTAGTATGGTGCGCCGAGCCCGGTGCATGCAATACAGATGAATGAAGTGCAAACATGCTGTCATATTGTATGCTAATTGAAATATGCCCTAATCTAACCATCATAAGCGGATAAATAAAAGGGAGAAAGACGTAGGGTTAGAAGACATACATCACACACACGCACACTTATTACAGTTGTGTCCGAATAAATAATACAGTCCCAAATAAAAGAATATTATAGTCTAAACATTACAGTCCAAATATTACAAATTCCTAATTAATTAATGAATTAACTAAGAAAGCAAGTAAAACTGGCATGCAAGCCAGGGACTGCCTTGCTTCTGATGGATGATGTATGTTAGGCTGCTTTGCGCGGAAATCCACCGGGATGCCCCAATTAGCCTCTGTTTAGCCATTATTCTTGAAAAGCGTGCCAAGTTCCGAAAAGTTGCTGATTCCTGATTTTGCTGCAACAGAGAGCAGGAAAGGGGCATAGCAGTGTATTTTCACAAATATATGCATGCCTCGATCCTCGTGCCATCAATCACGCATACCGAGGCATGATAGCCGAGGAGTCGAATTGCACAATTCAATATAGGATGAATGCACATGAAACACAATAAAACCTAACTCCATCATGGATGATCCGGAGTGTCGGTGACTGGGGAATTGAGACACATTCCGTCACTCGGAGTACGGAATGTACCTCGTTTCCTGTGCCCGGGCTAACTCCTATCCGAAACACGATGCAATATGCATGAGATGCATGAAATGCAACTAAGATACAATCCTAACATACACAATGCTATGAAAATGAGATGCCTCGAAATGCGTGCACACGGTCACGCAAACCGAGAAAATGACATATGCAATGTAAATGACATGGAAATGTGATATGGGCTTACACTAACATGAGAGAGCCTCAGCTACACCCACATAAGAGGCCGGTGGATGAAAATGAAGTGCCTCGAAATGTGTCCACACGGGCACGCAAACCGAGGTTATGGCATGCGCAATGCAAATGCACGAAAATGGAAACATGGACTTATACTAACATGAGAGAGCCTCAGCCACACTCACTTGAGAAGCCGATGGATGAAAATGAAGTGCCTCGAAATGCGTGCACACGGGCACGCAAACCGAGGTAATGGCATACGCAATGCAAATGCACGAAAATGGCAACATGGACTTATACTAACATGAGAGAGCCTCAGCCACACTCACATAAGAGGCCGATGGATGAAAATGAAGTGCCTCGAAATGCGTGCACACGGGCACGCAAACCGAGGCGATGGCATATGGAATGCAAATGACATGGAAAATGCAACATGGACTTATACTAACATGAGAGAGCCTCAGCCACACTCACATAAGAGGCCGATGGATGAAAATGAAGTGCCTCGAAATGCGTGCACACGGGCACACAAATCGAGGCGATGGCATATGCAATGCAAATGTGGCAAAAATGGTATGCAAGCATGCTAATGGATTTTCAGCAATGAAATATGGGGTAAAACAGCCCCGAAACGAGGCGAAAGTACACCCGATGCACGGAATAGTCCCGAAACACGAATTGTGGCACCCGAAATGGCCTATAGCTATACCAAACATGCACAATATGGACATGGAATGTAAATACAGAAGTAAGGCAGCCCCAAAATTATCATTTTACCAGTACAAAACATGGCCAAACAGCAAACCAAGATAGGGAAAAACTAGCATGCAAGAAATGGCCCTAAACATGAGATTAAAAAGAAACTCCATGGGATTAAGAAGCAACTCACAGCTGCAAACTCCAAATGGGTTAGGACCCTTCAACAACATTGAAGAGGGGCCAAAAATAAGCACTTTCAAAGAACTGTAAAAACCTCAAAAATAAACATAGATAAGGCTAAGTTCTTACGCAAGAAAATGGACCAAAAGGTGGCCAAAGAGACAAGTGGTATATACAAAGCCCAAACTGAAAAATTTCCTTCTACAACATTGAAGAGGGACCAAAAATAAGCATATTTTCAGAAGTATAAAAACTCCAAAACAATATACAAACATGCTAGAAATGCAATGCAAAATGACGCTCAAAGGAGGCTATAACATGAAGTATGCAAAATATTCCAAAAATAGCCAAAGACCCTTAATGAAACATGAAGAATGGGTCAAAATATGGCTGTTTTTAGTATTTCTGTTCAACCTACAGCCTCAGGTTATCTCTTATCTCAATCAAAATATGCCAAAGATATTTTCCTTAAAGCTGGACTATTCTCTTGTAAGCCTTGCCCCTCTATTGTTTCTGTCAAGCCTAGAAATCCTTCTAATGCTTCACTTCCATTTCACAATCCTACTATTTACAACAGCATTGTTGGGGCATTGCAATACCTAACAATTGCTCGACCTGATATCTCTCTAGCTGTCAATCAAGCTTGTCAATATATGCATTCTCCTATAGTGGGCCATTTGGTTGCAGTCAAGAGAATTCTCATATTTGTTCACGGCACCTTTACTCATGGCTTGACTTTTACTCATAGTACTTTTGATGTTCATGGGTATTCGGATTCCAACTGGGTAGGAGATGTTCATGATATAAAAAGTCTACAAAAGGTTATTGTGTTTTCTTGGGTTCCAATTTGATGTCCTGATCCACTAAAAAGCAAGGAACTATGTCTCGATCATCTATTGAGGCTGAGTATAGAGCCTTAGCTCATGCTGCTGCAGAATTGAGTTTGATTTCTATGCTTCTCACTGAAATGGGCATTTCTTTACCTACTACACCCATCCTCTAGTGTGACAACATATATGCTATAGCTTTGGCCTCAAATTCAGGGTCCTCCCATGTGTGTACATCACAAATATGTGGTTCAAAGTTCAAGAAAGTGGCCCCAAGGTGTTCAACATTGGCTCGGAAGCGAGAAAAACGGGTACCGGAGGGCGAAAATGGAATATAACTGGTTGCCAAGATAATTGCTGGCCTCCCATCTTCCAGTGACCTTCTTGGTGATGAAACAGAGGCACCTGCCAAAAATGAACGAAAACCAATGCAAAGCGAATGCTCGGGGGCCAAAACACGCAGTTCGGGGTCCTGAAAATGGGCTGCTAAGCACCAAAAGTGGCGTTCGGCCACGAAGTGGGTTTCTCAGACCCCAGTGTCCCTCAAAAGGGAGCAAATAAGATGTATGCCAAAATTTAGAACAAACAGAGATGGTTAAGCGGTCCCGAACCGAGGCACACGGCCAACAGTCCCGAAAAAAATCGGAAACCGGGCTCCGAAATGGGCAAAATGGCCTACGGCCACCAAATGTAGCCTACGGCCACTGAGAGATGGTCTACGGGACCTCTCCCTCCCCTCAGGAAAAGAAACAAAGAAAACCGAGCCTGGTTCGCAAACCAAGGCAAAGCACAAAAGAGGGTTCGGAAGTCCGGAGGCAGGGCTCACGGCCGCAACTCTGAGACTTCTGAACGAGCACATTATGCAACATCACCAAGCGCTCAATCAGTGACGCCTGAGTGTTAAGGTCGGTCAATAATGGGGGGTCTACACACCAAGCTCCAGAAAGCTGAAAATCCACCTTGGGAATCCAGTGGGAGGGTGGCCGACCACTTTTGGTCTCTCCAAATCCCTGCCGACCACTTTTTGTTGTTGAAAACCAAGAAAAGTGGTCGGCCAGCTACTTTTTCTGACTAGCCGACCAGTTGTTGTTGCTGAACTGCAATTTGCTGCAACAGAGAGCAAGAAGGAGCATGGCAATGTATTTGCAAGATATGTGTATACAACCACCCTCCCTATCATGTCATGAACTCAAGGGAGTGTAGGTTCTCGACCCTCAGACCACCAATCGCGCATTTTCATGCGTGATGGCCGTGAGGCGAAGTTGCACAGTTTAATATGAAAATGAATGCACAAGTAAACACATAAGGCCTAAAACTCTATCATGGATGATCAAGAGCATTGGCGACCGGGAATTAAGGCACGTTTCATCACTTTAAGTATGAAAACGTCCCTCGTTTCCTGTGTTTGGACTAATACCTATTCCAAACAACGATGCAAGCAAGCATGGCATACACAATGTGGCTCAAGCATGTAAGTATGCAATATGACTTAACAAGGCTAGTGGCATGCACAATGCTAAAGCATGTAACAACTAGCACACACAATGCTAAATGCTAAGAACTAGATGGCATACTCAATGCAAGGCATTCATAAGGTTCTAAGCATAATGTAATGCATGCATGCACAATGCAATGCAACAAGGGCAACTTATGTAATATACCAAGCATGGCATGCTCAATACAATGTACATGGTATACTCAATGGGCTTAAACCAAAAGGGTAGACCTCAATCATGCCCAAATCAGTGGCCATTGGTGATGGAAATGAAGGCACATAAAGCAAGGCATGCATGCACAATGCATTGGCCAGCAAAGAGGCCTAAGAGCACAACTCTCAAGAAGGCTCAAGGAGTGACAAATGTGCAAGTGTAACAACACCAAATGCACTAAAATGAAGTAAGAAATGATGCCAAATCATTCAAACAACATATGCAAAGCATGCAAGAGTCCTAAGGCAAGAAAGCTAGCAAAGAGCAACACAAAGGAGACATGCAATACATGGCACAAATGCATTAGCTAAGCATGGACAGAGCTCAAGTAGGTCCAATCATGGACCATAACATGCTGAGATAAGGGCCCAAGTACCTAGGCATGCAAGCATACAAGCTAAGCCATAAGCTAGGCAACAAATCATAACACTCAAACACAATTAAAGCATGATTGAGGTAGGAACATGGCAATACTAAAAGCTCTGAAATGTCATGTTAAGTGATGCCAAATCATGTACATGACACAAATAAAGCATGCAATGGTGCTCAAAGCTTGAGGCAAGCAAGAGCACTTGTAATATCAGTATACAAAACATGAAGCATGTGATTAAGGCAACCCAAAATAGTCCTAGAACATGTTAAAATGAGTCTAAAACATGCATGGAAGGAAGCCAAGACATGCTAGCATGAAGGGCATAAGGCATAATTCATACAAGGCAGATAAGGTGGATTACACTACACCTATTATGACCAAGCATGGAATGAGTTAAGCAACAAAAATCAGAGTTATGTCATGACATAATAACCCCAAATAAACACTAAAATGGTGGCTCGCAAGCAAAGGCATGAAGGCATACCCAATGGTTCATGTTAAGACATAAAGGGGAAAACCCTCCAACACATTGAATGAGTGATAAATGTGACTACATGGACATGAAACATGTACTGAAATCACATTATGAATGATGCCAAATCATTGAAATAGGCCAAGTATAGCTTGCTAGAGGACTTGGCGCACAAAGCTAACAAGCTACATTGAACTATAGCTATCCAAAGCAAGTCATGCATGGCCAAAACAACCAAAATCAGAGCTAAAGCATGTTAAAACATGGACAAAAGCTTCATGAAGTTAAGCCAAAAGCATGCTAGAATGACATGTCACAACATGATGCATGTTAGGCTATTTCATGGAAATGCACTACAAGTGCAAGGAGCATGCAAAGGCTAACCAAACAAAACCTAAACAGAGGTATGACATGGTAAAACAAACCCAAGAACATACTGAAATGGACACAACATAAGCTAGAAATACATGCTACTTCATGAAGCATACAAAGCTAGTGTGTGTGATTTACACTACAAGTGTATTAGGCATGCATGGAGTGATCAAACCATGCAAAAACAGTGGTATGCCTCGGCAAAATAACCACAACTATATGGTCAACATACACTTAAAAAAGGTGCTCAAACATGAGACATATTAAGGCATGTATAGAAGACACAAGGAAAGGGGATGACCCTCTCCTTCTTAGGACCTTAAAACATCATCCCCACCACTGAAATCCAGAGAAGGCCAAAACAAGGTGGTCCCAAGGCTCACAAAATAGGCTAAAAAACAAGACCAAACAAGGCCTAAGAGGGGCTAAACAACCCCAAACACAAAAGTGATCTTCAACAAACTTTTTAAGCATGAAAAAATAGAACTTTTATTAGTTATGAGCTAAGCTTAAAACAACATGCAAGATAGGCTAAAAGTTTAAGCAAGAAAGGGGGATTTAAAGGTCAAAAGCTCACCCTTGAAGACCCTCTTTATAACTGCAACTCCAGCAGCCTTTTTGAACTTAAACCAGTCCAAGAACACCAAAAACAACCTCAAGGAGCCTCAACAACACAAGCAAGGTGTTTAAGTGTGTGTTTGTGCACGAAACTAAGACAAATCTACACTTTTGAGCACAAAAATGAAGCAAGTAAGGCAATATAGATACAAGACTATATCTATCCCTCTCTCAGATTTTCTGAACCTGGAGGAAGGGGAAGGAGCCTCCCTCTTATAGAGAAGGAAAGGCAAAGCTTCTAGGAGAAGCTAAGCACCAAGGCAATCCCTCCATACACGTGTATGGAGGATGGGTCTAATGTCCACAGCTGGTTGAAAATATCTCCAAAAAGGTGCCAAAAAGCAGCTGACCACTTGAAGTGGTCGGCCTGCTAGTTTAAGTGGTCGGCCAACCACTTTAGGTGGTGAACCAGAGCAAAAACCGGTCGACCATAGGTGGGAGAGGTCACCACACTAAATGCAAGGTGGTGGTGTGGTGGCTGACCAGAAAAGATGGTCCAAAGACCAAGAAAGCCAGTTATCTGACAAGAAAACTAGCTGGAAAAAGGAAAAGTGGTCTCCAAGGAGAAATACCAGTCTCCCACCCACCCTTGTACCACCTTCCAAATAAGGAAAACAAGGTTTGTACCAAAAACAAACCAAAGTGGATGCAAGACGAGAAATCAGGAGGCGAAACACGCGGCCAAAAGCCCCGAAAACTAGCTGACGAGCATCAAAAGTGGTATGCAACCACAAAAGTGGTCTCCTGGACCACAGTGTTCCTCTAGGCTGAGGCATCAAGGTGTGGTTCAAAAAACATGCCAAACGGAGAATGTTAAGCGGTCCCGAGACAAGGTGCTCGTCCCGGGAAAAGTGGTCTACGACCACGAAAAGTAGTCTATGACCACAGAGAGATGGTCTATAAGACCACTCCCTCCCTCCGAGAAGGGAAAACAAGACTTGGTCCGCAAACCGAGCCAAAGCACAAAGAGTTCCGAGGCCCGGAGGCAAGGCTCTCAGCCAAAACTCTGAAACCTCAGAACGAGCACAACATGCACCATCACCGAACGCTCAATCGATGACGTCTGAGTCTTAAGGTCAGACAAAAATGGGGTGTCTACAGTTGCCCCTCTTTGACAGAACTTGGAAGTCATAAGTGACAAGAGTGTGTGTCAAAGCCCAGAAATGACCCATTTTTGACAAGGCCGAAGACTTAGACAAATAGGCAAGATGACAAAGAAATGTGCCCGCTGGCAAGGGCAAAATGAAAATGATATGCACGATGCTGAACATAACTTATGATCATGCAAAGAAAGCTATTGCCAAGCAATTATGCAAGATAAATACAACAGTTTAAGCAGGTGAATACAAAACAAACTACATTACATGCAGAAAGGATGTAAGAGAATTATACAATTCTCATTATGTCTCACGCAGAGTACATACAATACCTGTCTGGTTCGTCTGGTCACGCCAGCTTCAAATGAACCCTACATACAATATCGTGCCTGCAAAAGAGAGAAACTTAACAGGTACAATATTGTTAGAAACATGCATAGCAATGCAAGTGAAAACTGCGTAATAACGCAAGTCGAGGATGCATGATAATGCAACCTAAGTGTGATGCATAACAATGTGGTATGGATGCAAAACA